TTTGCTTTCGCTCGAAAGCAGCTGCAACGCCAGTGCGCATCGGTTCATTCGAAAAGAAAAAAAAAAAAAAAAAGAAAAAGAAAAGGAATAAAAGTCAGCGCAAGCGTTATACATGTATATCATGTAAAAGCATTTACCAGGCGATCCCGCGACCTTCGCTCGAAATATTTATGTCGTCATATCTCTGTGCGTTACACTGTGGGTATTTCTCGATGATAATTTTTAAGCTCGTACACGTATTTCTCGTTAGAAGTGAGACACATTTATGTTCATTTCCTCGAATACGCATATTTATGTGCTTTTATGTAGCTCTTGAAAACAGATCATTATCAGATTTTATGTAGTCGTTTGGATTTAATAGTTTTAAAGATATCATTTTGTTTACCAAGAAACCTATCAAAGTTGCGTTATATTTGAGAGAAAAATATATTTGAGGTGCATTACTTATTTACTCAATATTTCTATTTAATGTAATATATCGATTCTAAATATTACGTTAACTTGCAGTTATCACTCGTTATGATTAATCCTAAAGCTTTAACGTGTAAAGCGTTTTCGGAGCACAGAGATATTCGAGTCAACAAATATTTCGAGAAGAAGTCGCGCATTAAAGCGCAAGCACAGTTCGCTTCTGATTGTAAGACGTCAAGACACTTGCCAAGGAACGTGTAACGTGTATTTGCAAACAAACAAGGGGCAATATAGAAGCACGTTGCTTTGTATCGTGTATGTATGTGTATGTATGTGCGTGTCTGTATGTGTGTTTGTGTGTGCAATATTATCAGTAAGACCTCACCACATAATGTTTTCGTCCACGATGTAATATCCAGAAGAAGGATTTTACCACTCGCGATCGCGATAAGAAAGACACCCGAAATGTCCGCGACATTGAGATATCGCGCAGGCGAGTCCTCTCTCCCTCGCCAAGAATAGTTGCCCGAATTAATTAATCAAAACGTTTCGAATTCAATGCTTCGCGGATTAAACTTGCACATCTTTGGTACCTCGTCGATATATCGATTCGGGATGATGACGCTCGGGAATCGATATACACCGTGGCAGAGAACTAGGGATTGAAAACCTTCATGACCCTTTAAACCCGGCGAATGCAAATTCTCTCGGGATCGATAGCGACATCCGAAAAAATATTAAACTTAAAAATCGCGAAAATTCCCTACAAAGATTGAACGAACAATTTAACGATAAAAATATTGCTATTGACGGAATAATTCGTGAAATTATCATTTTACAAATATATTCTGTTCTATCATATAATTGAAAAAGATTATAATCGACACTTTTCATCAAATTCCCTGAACGAATATATTTAAATGATGTAAACAGAAAAACAATTGATTGATAAAATTAAAATAATTCAAAAGAGATTAATAATAAAAAGTGCGCAAGAGGATTATACAATTTTTACTTTAACTTCTATCTTATTTTTCAATAAATTGCAGCATGAATGCAACGTGGCTTACGCTCCGAGGATATAAAATCGCTCGCGACCATCAGTGAAAATACCGATCTTCCCTCGACATTTGAGAAATTGGAAAGTTCATTATTTTTGCTTTCAATCCCTGTGAACAATATATTGTGTCATATATGTGTACATGTGGCGTCCGGCAGTGAATGACGCGTGTCTAGTCAATCGATCGGCCAAGTGCTACCGAGCGAAGAGAAATCGTGAGATCGTGTGCGTGTTTGCGAGTTCGCTCGTACAGTGTGCATGTGTATGTACGTATGTATGTGGTCGGCGTAGGTGACGTGTGTGCGTGTGTACATGTGTAAGTGTTAGTAAGGTAGAAGTCGGATGAGATAGAGAGCGTATTACTTAGCGTGACGTAACGTCTTACTTCTTTTTTCTTTTTCTTCCGTCCATAACCTCCCTGAAATTGGAGAAATGGAGAAACAGTCGTTATATACACACAGAGATACAGAGAATACGGGGGATGAATAAAGAGGGGGAAAAAAGTATGCTAATATGCAGGTAACATAGAGAAGGGACGCGCAACGCGACAAGATGGGTTCGATTCGCAATTTTCGGAGAAACACGAGCTGAACTGGATGAATGAATGGTAGAAAAGAGACAGAGAAAGAGAGAGACAGAAAAAGAGCGAGAGAGAAACATATCAAGAGGAGAGATGGTAGGGAAAAAAACACACACTGTTTACATCACGACATAAACACACGACAGGAATATATAGGATCAGGCCGGAGGGAGGGTTCTTCAAGCACATCGAGCTCGATCGAGATTGGATTAAACTGTTCGATAAAAAAAACATGACTCTCTCTCTCTCTCTCTCGATTAGAAAAGATATTTTTTGTAACAAAGAACTATGATTTCCGATAAATAATTTTGAAAGATATAAAATAACGATTTAAATCCTTCTTATTGTTCTTAAATATTTTAGGCAAACATATTTTTGAAAATTTCGAAATTAACGAACGTGTCAATTATAAAAATGTGTACATGTCTCGAACACTTTATTAATACGGCATATCTCCCCCAAAATAATAAGAATAATCTGCCCGTAGAAAAATGCGCCAAATAAAATTTATAAACTTTCCAACGTATCGAAAAAGCATTACGATACATTCTCAGATTTTTAAGGCTCAGTTAATGCTCGGACGATCGATGATAATCCAGTCTCGATCTCGCTTTTCCCTCGTTCTCTCCTTGACCTTTCATCGCTGGAGTATAATACAAGGAGGCAATAAAAGAAGAGGATTTGCTCCTTTTGCGAAAGTAATTTTCAAACAACGATCAATGTTGAACGATGGACCCGATGAGGGAAAGGAGGAGAAGGAGGAAGGCTAATAAATAAATCCGCTCCTTTTATCGGCGTCACTGTTGCAGCCGGAGGCAAATTAGGAGCTCTAATTATAAGGAATGTAAAGGGCTCGTTGGACTTGATACATTGATCCTCCTATGGCGATAATCGTACCGTCTTCCATCGCGTGGCACTCGCGCGGTTATTCATTAACGCGAGCGCGGCGAAGAAAGACGAATGGAGAGAGAGAGCCACGACACACGAGCGGTATTCACGTATAAATAACGTATATATGCATGTATATATATATATATATATATATGTGTATATATACATATGTACATATGTATTATACATATATGATAAACAGACACAGATAAGTGACACTGCAGACATATATCGAGCTTCGCGCGTACGTGGCATATCTTTTATAACACATACAATACATTGCTCGACGACAAATATGTATATATATAAATATATATGCTTTATATACATATATATATATATATATATAAACAAATAATTGAAATAGTCGTCTCGGTAAAGATAGTTACATCCTCACTACACTGGCGATAGATCAAGCGAGCAATCAACGCGATAGTCGGATGGGTAAGAGGGATATATGGATGAGTTTGTTGCAGTCGGACGAATGTTTGGGAAGAAAACAGATCTCGCAAACGGCGCTACAGCTAGGCACAGGAAAAGACGGCTCATACTTAAGATCAATCAAATTCGTATCAGATCTGAGCAAATCGTGTTTCTTAACGAGCAAAAAATGTCTAAATTCAACCGCAATATAAAATTCGATGTGTAATTCGATGTCTAATTTTGGATTATTTTTGTATGTTGTTGGTTCAAGTAGATTAAAGTGTTTATTAAATGTATAAATGTGGTATTTTATTGTTTTATTTTATTGCGTTTATATTTTGGTTTCGATATATTTTTAAAATTGTATTTTATCCGTTTTATTCTTGATTTCTTTTATTTGATCATCTTCGTGCCAAGTTTTTTTAATATTAAAATTTAATACATTAAAACCATTTCTTTTACAATATTGAATCTTTAGAAAGAATTTATCAAAAAAATATTTAACTCTATCAAAAAAATATCTAACGTTTTAATAAAAGCAAAGCAGTTATATTACTATACTGTTGCCTGTAATTGTTCGCTGCTCTCGACTATAATAGTATTATAAGATAAGTATGATAAGATCTTAAGTATGAGTGGCAATTAATGAAAAACTTTTAGCATATATCATACAAGCGCCTGTAGGCGCAGTAGCCATTGGCTAAAGATGAAGACTCAAAAAAGAAATTCTTCAAAAGTTTATAAAATAACCTGCATAATTTTCATGTTGAACAAATGCTATTTTTTCTTCGCGTATTAAGGCTTCTAAAATTTTATTATTATATATCGCTCGCTTTACATATTTACATAAACACGTACGAAAAGGGCGAAAACGATTATACAGGAAAATTAATTGACCGCGCATCAACTTGACAAGAAAATCAATAGCGTCAAATAAATATTTGTTTAATCCGAATCTAACTAAAAAATATTGTACAATAATAATAAATGTGTAACAAACTGGGATACAAATTGTAAGAAAGTGATACGATTTTTGTCTGAAAGGTTTCTCTGAAATTTCATCCATGTCATCCATGTGTTTACAATTCAAACAGCCTCGAAATTTTCGCGATATATTTAACTTCCTCGAAGTGAATTTACCGGAGTCGAAACAAATTATTTTATCTTTTTTTTCAATTATATTTATATTAATTATATTTATAATTATATTAATTATATTTATAATTATATTAATTATATTTATAATTATATTTATTTGAGCCAAATCTCTAATTATTAAATTCAATTATATTTATTCAAAATATATTTAGAATTATTAAATAAAATAGAAAAAAATTAAATCTTTGAAATCTTTGACACATATATGTACCACTATGCATTAAGATTAATCATTCGTGAAGGCTAAAATTTGATTTGTACACACATGTGTAATCTCAAATGATATTTGAAGAGGTGAAAAGGATTGAAAATGCCTGATCGTCACTGAATCATTTAGCGTAATTTATTTGGCGCTACTCAAGAGATGTCCTAAACAAGGGCGCGCGATCAATTATGCATCGATATAATTAATGTGCGCGCGAGAAAAATTGAAAGATACGCGTTCGTGTATCGCACACGGCCGCGTTCATACCTCGCCTTCGGCTCTTCTCTGCTGAAGCTCTTTCTGCCTGGCCTCTTCCTCGGCGATGCGAGCCTCTATCGCTGCCAGGGACTCCCGCGTGAACGGACGGAACAAACTTCTTTCTTCCTCTGATATAGAGTCAGAATCTTCGGACATTGTCTAGGCTGCGCACAGCTGAGCCACCTTCCTACGAGGAAGCGTATAAACCCTGATCGATTATAAATATCAAATTGTAAGAAACAGCAATTGACAATATACATAAAGAATAGAAAAGAAGACTCCAATGACATCAAGACAAATAATATCAATACATGTCAAAGTACACGACTTCTATTCGCTTTTGATTCAAAATTCGATCACATACGTCAAAAAAATAAATAAATTGAATCAGCTTTACAATAGTGTTAAGGATGTTTTGTACCTATTTTCAAAATATTGAGAATTTAATGAAAATTATACAGAGTGTCCTTACATATGTTTAGAATCTTCGGTACAATTTTTAAATCGATTCACTAAAGCGTTCTCTCTCTCTCTCTCTCTCTCTCTCTCTCTCTCTCTCTCTCTCACAAGTTATAAGGATTTTAATTTGCACCGAATCAACATGTGTTCTTATGGGAAACGTATAACCACGTCGATTCAAATGACAAGAACACATGGAAATAATATTCAGAATTTGTTAAAAATTTGCAAAAGTTTAGATACAGACGAAATATTTGGTCGAATAATATTATACAAGTACTAACTGATTAAGAAGATATTAAATATAATTGAATGAAATTAGCCATGTATCTGTCACAAGGCGAAATTCTCTGCCAAAAGTTAATCATTTCGATTCATGATGTTTTGTACCTATTTTCAAAATATTGAGAATTTAATGAAAATTGTACAGAGTATCCTTACATATGTTTAGAATCTTCGGTACAATTTTTAAATCGATTCACTAAGCGTTCACAAGTTATAAGGATTTTAATTTGCACCGAATTAACATGTGTTCTTGAAACGTATAACCACGTCGATTGAAATGACAAGAACACATGGAAATAATATTCAGAATTTGTTTAAAATTTGCAAAAGTTTAGATACAGAGGAAATATTTGGTCGAATAATATTATACAAGTACTAACTGATTAAAAAGATATTAAATATAATTCAATAAAGTTAGCCATGTATCTGTTACAAGGCGAAATTCTCTGCCAAAAGTTAATCATTCCGATTCACAAAATTCGGAATATTTCAGTAAGAATGCAATAAATATTAAAAAATACATCTCTACGCTGTAGCTAAAAAAAATTGTAATATTCCACACAATTTCTTACTCAAAATACACCAAAAGTGGATATTCGTCAATATTGATTTTCAGCTACTTTTTGTTGGGATTGTACATACAAAACATCCTTAAATAAAAATAAGAAAGTACAAAAAGATAATTAAATAAATCGTAATATTTCAACTTTCTTTTGATGGTGTGATATTGTAAATAAAGCAGGGAAAAATACGAGAGAAAACACTGAATGGACAAGAGGGCGAAGAGGGAGGGTTTCGCAAAGACTCACTTTTGATCGGTGCTAACAGTTCCTGAAGTGTGATGTGCGCGTGTCCCACGATGCGGGGGGGTAGTAGAGTTGCTGCTGCGGCTGACGGGGACGACGGGTCCGGTGCTGAGGGTGGCTCGACTTGCCGGCTACCAGCGGCCGGTTTCTGGGCGTCGTCGATTCGGAACGCGTCGTGCCGATGATGCGGTCACACGGCGTCGTTACGTACGCTCGGACGGATAAATGCGCTCCGTGCAGCACGTCGATTGCCGATCCGCCGTTGCTCTTGCTCTCCCTCTTCTGGTCGATCGCCGTCAAGCGAATACTGCTGCTGCTGCTGCTGTTGCTGCCGTTACTGTCAATGCTACCGCTACTTCTAACTTTGTTTCTGTTGCGGTTCAAGCTGCTCTTGTTGAGGCTGCTGCTGCTACCTGAATCTCGTTCCAACGTAATGGCGACGAGAAATGACGAACGCGCTGCGGCAGTGCGTGCTATGTCGGGGACCGTCCAACGCGAACCAAGATTTTTCATGTCCGACCTGAGACAAGTCGAGCAAGAAGCGTCACGTAGCGATAAGAGATCGCAGATACTGTCATTCCGATGTATGCGTTAGAAGATGCGCAAACATTGGGTCGCGTTATCAATTTTCACTTTTGCGACATTTTCCAAGGGCATAAATTAAGGATGTTTTGTATCTATTTTCAAAATATTGAGAATTTAATGAAAATTGTACAAAATGTCCGTAAATATGTGTAGAATCTTCAGTACAATTTTTAAATCGATTCACTAAAGCGTTCACAAGTTATAAGGATTTTAATTTGCACCGAATTAACATGTGTTCTTATGGGAAACGTATAACCACGTCAATTCAAATGACAAAAACACACGGAAGTAATATTCAGAGATTGTTTAAAATTTGCAAAAGTTTAGATACAGACGAAATATTTGGTCAAATAATATTATACCAGTATTAACTGGTTAAGAAGATATTAAATATAATTGAATGAAGTTAGCCATGTATTTGTCACCAGGCGAAATTCTCTGCCAAAAGTTAATCATTTCGATTCATGATGTTTTGTACTTATTTTCAAAATATTGAGAATTTAATGAAAATTGTACAAAATGTCCGTACATATGTTTAGAATCTTCGGTACAATTTTTAAATCGATTCACTAAAGCGTTCACAAGTTATAAGGATTTTAATTTGTACCGAATTAACATGTATTTTTATGGGAAACGTATAACCACGTCGATTGAAATGACAAAAACACATGAAAATAATATTCAGAATTTGTTTAAAATTTGCAAAAGTTTAGATACAGAGGAAATACTTGGTCAAATAATATTATACTAACTGGTTAAAAAGATATTAAATATAATTTAATAAAGTTAGCCATGTATTTGTCACCAGGCGAAATTCTCTGCCAAAAGTTAATCATTTCGGTTAACAAAATTCGGAATATTCGGAATATTCAGTAAAAACGCAATAAATATTAAAAAATACATCTTTGCGCTGCAGCTAAGATCAAATTATAATATTCCACACAATTTCTTACTCAAAATAAAATGGATATATTCGTCAATATTGATTTTCAGCTATTTTTTGCTGGGATTGTACATACAAAACATCCTTAAGAAAATTACTTCAGCCAAAGAGATACAAATGTACACGAGATCATTTGTCTAATTTTCAATTATAATAACGCGAATCAAGTATATTTCTAGAATATCGTAGGAATTCCCGATAGTCATTAGGTTAGATAATATCGGCGAAATAAATGGGAAACGCAAACTACTCCTGCAAATGGACTACGAAACGGAACGTATTAATGCATACTCACGTGTGAATGAAGCGACGGGTGCGATCAATCCGTTATCCGAAATAACATAGTCTAGTCTTCGAGTCGGTCGATTTTTTTATTTTCTGCAACAAAAACAGAGAAACCAAATGAATCGAAATCGCTTCTCTAATATACGAATTAAGATCTGCTATAAAATATACACAACATCACGGATGCTGCGTGGCTTGTGCTACATCAATATTTGACATTCATGTTTGTGAGATAAGGTCTTTTATTCGACAGAAAAACTCGAGTTCAGCGGAGAGGAATTAATTCTTTATGACGAGGCGAAACTCGGAGCTTGATTTTTTCATGAGACGACTTGACGCGATTAGAGACGAATTTGCTCGAAACGAGGGGATTTTGGCCGGAAATTTTCGCGCGAATCGCGTACCGCGTTATCTGTACAAGCGAAGCCGCGGAAAGGTGTCGGTGGTCTTTGACCGAGTTTCGCGCGGTCGATCATCATCCCACCGAAACTCGGTTAAACGCGCCTCGATGGCGACGGCGGCGACGCCGAGCGCCTGGCCCGACATGGGAGAAAAGTAAGAATGAAGGGCTCCTCCGCCAGTGAAACAGCCGCGTGTTGAATCGGCCGTTCCCGAGTTCAACACGAAACTTTTCTCCCCGCTCGCTGACATTTACAGTGTTATTCTTTCGTATCGAACTTCTGTTTGTCGAAAAGATCGAAAAACTGGTTCGACGTGATTGTATAGACACACTTCGGAATTTGTGGAAGTTTACTTAAAAGCTCGTACAATAATTGGAATATGATTTTTATTTTCTTCCTTTTAATATATTGAATTTTTGTATTTATTGAAAACGTAAGGTTTATAAATCACAAGAGAGATTGAGATTTTATAGATTTCCAAAGAATTTCTAAAAGAATTGATAGCGTATTATCTATATAAATAGATTATAGTGTTTATAATATCACGTTTCTCTTTTCTTATTCCTTTTAACAATTATTTGAGCAACGAGTCTTTCATCAAGAAAAAGAAAGGAATTATTTATAAAATCGTTAAAAGTCTAATTGTGTTTTTCACAAGTTTTACGATACTTCGTATCTATTCCTATTTCCTACATTTATTATATAGAATATTTTTATCACATTTCCTACATTGTAAATGAGTGATATAAACAGAAACATAAAAATATACAGCATAACTTAATTATTGAAAGTGCATAGATTAATTAAATACATTTAAATCTATTATTTTATTCATGCGTTTCTCCCAATGAAATAAAGCATGTATTCTATGAAATTACATTTCCGTAAAGTTAATTGAGAAGATTTAACGTCACAATTTTACAACTCGCGAAATGGACGGTATTTTTAATTTGATTACTAATCCAATTATGTCCTTGTACTAATTGCAAGATAGAAAGACTTTTTCTTTTGCCCCGTTACATTAACCATACATTCGTCTATCTTCCGCTGACGATAGCGTGTTTTGCGTCTCTGCGTAGAATTACTCGCAAAAGTGGAACAAACCTACATCTTGTTTCTAGTTGAGACAAAAAGAAAAGGATGAAATAAGAAAGTCGGATAGCAACATGACTTCTATTTCAATATTCTTGCAAGCTAATAATTTCCCATTTCAATATTGATACGCAGCAGTAGCCGCAGCAAATAATTAATCTTTAATATGAGCGTATATATCACGTTTTTATTATTCAGAATTGTTCTACAGATTTTCTTTTTTTGTTTACAGGGAAAACAAGGCTGGCAAGAGATACAAGGGAAATCGATGGATTGCGACAACGTCACGAGACGGTCGACACAAATCGCATGTCTCGAAATCATTTAATGCGTATTTCTTTTCACCACATGGCGGCCTCAGATTGCAGATAATATAAATTTTGCGCAATCGTATTCGAGATATATGTGATTTTGTTTAGGACAAAAATAATTTTAAAAATTATTCAACAGAAGATGAGAATAACAGCTCCATCATATACAAGGACATTTTTGTTTTTTCAAAATATAAAATGAGAAAAAATTTTAGCAACAGAACGCAGGCAAAATTTTAGCACAAAAACGCTTTGAAATTATAACTGGATTTATATCAAATTGTTTTTTTACAAAGATAATTATTCTCATTCTCTTCTCTTGTACCTAAAGTCTACAAATAAATATTTGTATAAAAAAAGATATTACACTATACATCTCCATTTATATTAAAAAGTTTTATGCAATTTTATACCGGAAAGCGTACGCTTGCTCGAGAGAAAATCGTTAAAATAATATTTTTCGAATCAGCTTGACTTATGGCCTTTAGTTTATGCGTGGAATATGAGATGACACCATAGAAAAGCTCTGTAATTAATCATTAAGAGAAGTTATACAGAAGCCGCGAAATAATTAGCCGATTTCTCCTATTACGTATTGAATATGTGCTTGATCGTGGGTTGTGTTTCACTGATATAGAATTGCAATAAAAAGCGGCACTCTGCCAGCGTGCGAAGCAAGAAGAAACGAGGTCAACTATATCTGCGACAAATCGGCCTTCATCGAGAAATTATACGCGGTAACGGAAACGACCGGCTACACCGGGTTTAACAAGTAATTTTTCTAAAAGAAATTACTCTTTTTTCGTTTTTATCTCTCTCCTTCATTTCTCTCTAACCTTTGTATTTGCTAACTAGAATACAAATGCACATTCTTCATTTCGTTTTGTATTTGTTATTTTTTTAAATCTTTGATTTTATTCGAAATAATTTCTTTCTTTTATATTTTTATTTTTCATTCGAATAAAATAAAAATTGCTCATGCACGCAATGAGAGAATTGAGAAACTGTTAAACATAATTAAAATTATCAGTTTTTGAAAAACATAAATAATAGACATAAAGAAAAGAGAAAGATAGAGATAATGTAAAAAATATAAATGTCAAGAATATTATACAGAATATCATATATGGAACAAGAGGGAATATTAATGGAATTTTAGTAACAGAGGCTACCAAAAGAGAAAAGTATTATAACGCTAATTAAGAATGTGTTTGCTGTAAATGAATATGCATGACGACTTTTAATTAATATTTTTTAAATCCGAAATTATGCAAAATAATTGAGAAGTCGTGCAAACGCGATACGATACGCAATATCAAGAGATGCGATTCGACAACTGAGAGTTTATGGGATTCGATTAACCATCGCAAATGAATTAATGCCGAACGGAAGCCAAGAGCACTATGCCGAAGCACTTTTCCGTGCATCGTTCGCCCATTTGGATTGCGGATCAATAAATAGCCACAGTGCATACATCCGCGACGTCGGTATAAAACGATACGCGATCCATGTCAATTCCGATGTGCGCGCGGAAATGAGACACGGTTCGTCAGGCATCAGTTATCAGCAATTTAATCAACTTTGGCGTAATATCAATCTTGGTTTTCGACGATTGTTTAATAAATATCAGTATTGTTGAATAAATAGCCGCAGGAAATACAGTAAAAATCGTTTTTAACAATTTTATAGAGTCGCCAAGAAAATATATAGATATTTTTCTTTTACATTCGTATTTAATCAAATATTTCAAAGTGGAACAGCTTTGATATTCTTGTAATTTTGTTTTAACAATTTGTATATGCACATATATAAATTGCAAGAAAAAAGCATTAAAGTTGTCTCACCTAAAATATTAAATTAAATACGAATTTTCAAGAATATCACACGAAACAAAAAATGTATGTCCTACTGTCATAAGGGGAAAAATGTTTGCATAAGTCAGACATCTGACTATCTCTAACATACATCCAATCAAATTTGAAATTAGCCAATCAAATAATTGACATGCAATATTTTTCAGCGACTGTGGACCTCATTCGGAGAGCTCTTGTATCGATTGCAGTAACTTGCCCGCTGCGGATGCACTGAACGAACGCGACTCGAATAAGCAGCGCGGCAGCGGAGTGCATCTGCACCGAGCGGATTGATGCACTTGACTATAGAATCCTCTGCAGTAAAGAGGCGAACATTTTGCGAGCATTTACCTTAAATTCGAGCACGGTGAGAAGAAGAGAAAGGAGAAGAGACGTGGTATATTTGACCTACAACATCTTTTCTCCCCATGCATTTCGATGCAGCATTTTTGCGGCATAGAAGCTGGATACACGTCAAATTCACCAGTAATATCTACAAACGAAATAATATAATATAAATTGAAATTCTCGCGATACTTGAAGCGACGATCTTCGACATTGTTACTCTTTCAACTGGTCTCAAGCTATATCGAGAGACGCCATCGTCTTACGCCAAGAATATAATAATATAAATAGTAAATCCTCCATAAAAGTTGTTTGTACCCTGGCACACAATTACGCTTCGAACCTCTTTCTCTGAGAAGAATTGAAAACCGGAACAGTCCTCCTTGATTTATTGCATCGAGTTTTAAACTTTGAATCGCAATGTTTGCATTTGGCACGCAATGTGTATGCAATTCGAAGAAAGAACTTCAAACTTTCGGATTTCACGAGGCTCCATGTGCGAAATAACATCGTTGAGAAATATTTATCAATCTTTTTACATGTTAGATATGGACATTCCTTTAACGATCCCTTGGTCGCTCGTTACCTTTCGGAAAGGTATCGCGATTTGCTCTTGAATATATATGATATACATAGGGAGAAAGGGTGGATTTTGATTGGGGGGGATCGCTGTACGCTAAAAAATTCCGCAAAATTATCGCGTTGACGATCGATCGGAGCCTTTCTCTTGGTGCCAAGAGGTTCGGCGATGGACGAGCGCTAATCGTCAGCCTGATACATACGCATAATCGCATCGCCATGTTCATGGACTCTGCCCGGTGGCGCCACCGGAAACTACCCCCGTGAAGGAAAACCCAGTTGCTGGCGACGGTGGCTGGCTGGTGGGGCGACGCCGACGCCGACGTCGCGTGACGTCACAAACCAGGCCGGGTACGTTGCGGAAAAACGTTGTCATGACGACGACCGCTGACGCTATCGTCGTCGTCGCCGTCGCCGAGGCTTCGCCAATGCCAGGGGGAGAGACGATTGCAAAAAATTACCGAGCGGAAACGGAAAAAATATGAAGAACACATTGCGGGGCATCGTGCGTT